GTGCCGGAGCCGAGGAGCGCGAGAGCTCGCGCGGCGCTCTGGGTCCCCGCACGCCGGAGGGAGTAAATCGGGCGCTGCACTTCCCTGTGGGTTAACAGCTCAGCAAACCTGGGAGTTCCTGATCAGCGCGGGCGTTTCTTACTAGCTGCCAGTATGTTAACATCCCCATCTCGCCCCCTCCTTTTTTTTCAGATTCTCTCCTTCTCTCTCTCTTTTTTTTTTTTTTTCCCCTTAGCATTTTAAAAACTTTTACTGGGCAAAATGAGTTTTTCTGATTCAAAAGACCGAAATGCCTTTACCGCTGTCTCCCAATTCTAATCACTCAGGCAGGATCTGGCCTCCAGCGGATTCATGTTCCCAGGATTATTTTTTAAGTGGTAAATCTCAACGCTATTTAAAGTGATGCTATTTCACCGGCCACAGCGAGCGTGCAGTTATTTAATAGCTAAAACAGAGAGACATGGTCAAATTAACCCTGCCACCCCATTCAGCCCTTATGAATTATCGGAATATGTTTACTCAGCCCTGAGATTCTTGACTGTCAGCTTTTGAAGTTCCTTCACTTTATTCTGTATAGCAAATCTGGCAAGATAGTATTTTTAGGCACGAATTAAAATGTCATAAAAGCACGTATCTTTCAGGGATAGAGTCCTCAGGCTCCCTGTTACCTTACAAGCAGAAAAAAGGGAAAAAAACACGCCAGTGCTCCAGCTTTCTCTCCCATTCCCAGTCCATTATTTGCAGAGCTTAAATCAACGCGCAGTGTCGTCTCCAGCTCAGCCCGGAGCAGCTGTTTAGGGCTGTATGTTATCATGACAGGCCAGATAAATAGATAGATTTTTAAAAATGAATAGAATAACGTAAACGTGCAATATCAAGGAATTCTTAGCTAAATCTAGAAAATGACAATTCTGCCCCAAGTGCGCCACCAGTTAGCCCCCCTTCTTTCTCTTTACTTCTCCCCGTTAAACTGTACAACGACCTTCTGATAAGGACAGGTCAGGACGCGCCTGAGAAACGCTCGGGCTTCTGAAAAAATAAACAGATAACGGTACAAAAGGGGATTTTACCACGGCTCCGGGCAAGGCAGCCTCGGCCGAGCCCAGCGGGGCAGACGGGCGCCGAGCCGCGGG